AAATGCCTAGCTCAGGCGGTGTATTTTTATGCCTATAGATATTGGCACGTTTCGCATTTAAGATTGTGACACACCAACTTATTTTGAATTTTTTCAGTTTTCCGCTGGGCATGTTTCAAGTGCTTCATGACTATCACTGATAATTGAGCAATTAACTTAAAATTACCAAAATTTGCTGCATTGGCACAATATGTAGTAAGCAACATGAAAGAATAAAAACAGAGGACTTTAGTACAGTAAAAAAAGTAATAAAGGGTAAAAATAAGCCTTAATAGTAATAATAGTACTGAGTAAGTTTTAATGGTCCCAGGTTTCAGTGGTTTAATGGAGCCAGTGAAATGTTTAATGAAACAAGTACAGAGCATTACAAACTTTGTGGAGCAGCTGGTTCTGGTGCAACAAAAAGGAAGCTTCATTCTAACTGGTCTTGTATAATATTTGGGGATTGGTCCAAAAAGTGAGTGTGGGAGTTTCATTAGACAGCTAGCAGAAAAAAAAATTAGGTTAAAAATCCTGATGGGCAGATTCTTAAGAAATACAAGTTGCAAAAAAGAGATGTCAAGTCTTCCTTTAAGTATAAGACAGACAAAGCAAAACCTCTAGGCTTAAAGATGACCTCAAGAAATCATCAAGCTATTGTGAATATATTTGCAAATCAAAAATTAAGAGACATGGCTTGACATCAAGAGAAAAGAATGAAATTCAGTTATACTGGAAATACCAGAAGGCCTCTTCACTGTTCATCCCATCAAGGTCTTTAATACAGGCTTTTCTAGCTAAAACCATAGCCTGGCTGTGAAGAGGAGCTTTTTAGTGCTTAAATATAGCCGGTGAAGCAAATTCCATAAACCTAAATCCTACCTTATTTCCTTGGCAAGCCATTTTAAAGGTTTGCAAGAAAAACCAACAATTTAGAAAGTCAGAGAGGGAAGAAAGATTCAAACTACAGCAAATAAAGGATGCTATTAAAAAATATTTTTTTCTCACAATTCTGTTCCTATTGCTCCAAAACACAACTAAGAGATTCAAAATAGGCCAAGCTACCCTTTCAGGTATAAATTAGAAATAGAAAATGAAGCAAGCAGAAAGAACAAGTGTCTAAGGGCACTAGTATATAAAACTTTAAAAAGCTTAAAATGTAATGGATACACACATTCAGATTAACAAACTGCTTTCAATTAAAGTAGATTTCTAGCCACAGTTCACAAATGTATAGTAGCTGTGTGTATTAATGTAGATACTTCAAATGTCAGTATATCTCTAATTAACATGAGCACACAACTGTAAAACTAAGAAGGCACAATTTTAAATTCCTTACATTCCCAGCATTAATGCTTTCATGGGGCAGCTCCCGTTGTCATGGAAAATGGCATTCAAACCCTATTTGTGGATTTTCACAGCTCATCTTTTTTATTTACCTGCTCTATGTCAAGATTAGCCTGGAATAATATTTTTTAAAGATAATGCACTTAGACCTACTTGTCCTTAAAACCTCAGATGTTTTTACTGAAGGCGCTTTGGACTGGGCCATGCTTAGTTTGAAATAGATTTCTTTCCATTTAAAAATACCACAAAAGATGAATTTGTGATTTGTCGTTCTTTGTTTTTTGGGTTTTTGCTTGTTTCCTAAAAATGTATGCAATTCAAAAATGTCAGCTGAAGCATGGACCTGCAGCAGTTTGGGAATAGGGAGAGAGGCAAATGTCAGAGACTAGCAAATGATCCAGGAACATAAGAAAATGAAGTGGTAGAAGGCTCTCCTTGACTTAGTCTACCTTAACTTTTCAAAAATATTTGTGTATCCATCAAGTGGAGACTGAGATAGTGATCAAAATCAACAAAAGAAAAAACTAAAATACTCTGAGAAAAGACAGAGCATGGATACTATGGAAAGAGTATTAAAAGGTTAAGTCCCGCTACTCCGCAAAAATGAGAATAATTCCTACTCACCTCATAGAGTTTTTACAAATTTAAGCTAATTTAATGTCTGCAAAAACAAGTGTTATACCAAATTAAGACATTGTTATTATTATTGTCTCAAGCATGGGCTAAGCAATAGTCACTTTTTGTACCAGACAATAAAATACCGTTTGTACATTTTTTAGGAGAAAAGTTGCTATTAGAGACCGTGAACAGAGATAGGATTTTATAGAAGGAAATTCATTTTCAAATTACTAAAAAGGTTTGAGTAACCTGATAAAGCAGTTTATCTAATGATGTATTTCTGTTTTGTTTTGTTTTGTTTTGTTTTGTTTTTAACCAATCATTTATTGCCCTGGTAAATTGAATGTTCAGAATTTCATTTAATTAGAGATAAAAAAAAAAACTAAATGTGGGATATTAATATGAAAAACAAGGTCTTATTACACAGTACCTACTTTGGGGAAATAAAAGGGTAGTTTTTGCTTTTAAAGAGAAAAAAAAACCTATAGTAAGACGCTCTCAGCTTCTGAAAAGATAACCATTTCCCTTCACTGTGTTTTCCTCCTCTGACCTGGGTAGTAGATGTGAGTAGGTAAGATTCCAATCGGTTCTCACACACCCTTGGTGTGGTCCATTCATTATGGATGTGCAAAACAATATCCCACCTTCCTTATCTCACAGACTGGCTTCTGCACACCTTACTAAGAAACCTTCCCATGGCCGTGAGGTATAACTTTCTACCTTAGATCATGTAGCAAATAAGCAGTTCCAGGACATGGAAATTGAAGTTCCTAGAAGAAGCCATTGTCACTGATCCCATTTGCTTGTTCTTAAGCCAAACTAGATAAATATTTTTGTTTTAGCTGCCTCATCATTCAGTGTAAGTGGTAGATAGTTTCCACAATAATTGAAAGAAATGGGAATTCAAGCATTCTGGATGCCATGTTAATTTTATCTGACTCATCTTAGTCATAGTATCCTGCTACATTTCTTTAATAAGAAGGTTTCACAGTCAGAAAACGACCCTAACAAAGCTTGTGACCACTGACCAAAGGAACAACAAAGCCCATGCCCTAAACTAGCATATAGAAATTCTCAAGACTGGGAAACAATTACTTTGGCCTGTATGATGAGCATTACTTTTGCCTAAATGATCAAGACAAAATCTGAAGTTGAACTCCAGAAATAACCATATGAAAATTATACCCACAGCACCCCTTCTTCTATTTTAAGCATGTCTTTGTTAGATCCCAAGAAAAATCTCAGCTATTTGGATCACCTCCATTCAAAGTTAGTCTATGTATGATGAGGTGGGGGGGTAAAGAATTCAGGAAACAGAGCTTTTAGGTGACGACAAATATAAGTTATATTTCAATAAAGGCTAGCTTGGTTGAAATGCCAGTAATTATCTTTAATTTGTCATTTTAAAAATTTAATCATCTTAAAAACTTACTAAAGGGAATGACTGAATGATATGAGAGAAGAGAGAAAGAAGGTAAAAGAAAAGATAAAGCAACTAAGATAAGATTAGAGCAGCTTAAAATTATTTCCCTTCATTCAGATTTCTAGTAGGATCAGCTCAGCTCCTTGGAATCATCCTTTTTCTCGAGAGTCCTTTGAAAATACTTTACATTTTCTTCCTCATCTTCTTTGGCTCCTAATCCTCACTATGATACCTTGCACAAATTAAAAGCTTATATTTAATCCAAATGAACCATGCAGTTTAATATTTTGTGTTTTACATAAGAACTAAGTCTTCAAAATAAAATGTGAATTGATAGTTTCATAAAAATAACATCTTATTCTTAAAACATTAAAAATATATAAAATGTATTAAACTATATTAAACATCAAAGTCTATTTATTAAAGTTCATTCTAAATGCCAGATCCAATCAATGCTACTAATAAAGAAAGGTAAAGCCAGTTTTAAATAAATGTTTGCACCTTGGCCAGTTTGGCTCAGCGGTTAGAGCAATCAGCCCATGGACAGAGGGTCATGGGTTTGATTCCTGGTCAAGGACATGTACCTCAGTTGCAGGTTTGATCCCTGGCTCTGGTCAGGGTCATGTAGGAGGCAACACTCTCTCTCCCCTTCCCGCCCTTCCACTCTGTCTAAAATTCAATGGAAAAATATTCTCCGGTGAGGATTAAATAAATAAATGTTTGCTGTTCTCTGCTTAAATACTGAATAACTTAAACTCTAATTTATAATATTACTCTTTTAAAAATACTTTCCTAGAAGTATATTCTCTAAAAATTCTTTATAAGAGAACACTAACAAACGAAAAGTTTCTGTCTTTGTTGTTATCAAATATAAAACAGCCCCCGAGTTGCCATTGGTTTACAACATAGTACACATATAAATATTTCAGACTCTACTTAAATACAGTCTGTTTTTAACAGACATTTTAATACCTGCCACATACTCTAAAGTACTTCTACATTAGTAAGTATATATCAATTTAAAGTACTTTAATTGATCATTAAGATTCATTCTTTTTTTTTTCCCCTTGAAATTTACCTTCTTTCCTAAGAAAAAGTATATTTGTTCCCCAAAATACCATTTAAAATATAATACTGTTTGGGGAGATGGTGAAGAAAGCAGGCATACCTCTGATGTTATACACATTATACACTCACTAAATGAGTCTTTGGTTCCTTGGTACATAATCTCCTCCTGTACTTACAGCTCCTTGAATTCTGTCCTCTCACCTCTTTTCTGTGGGCATAGGCACGCAGCACGCCTCAAGTCCAGACAACCAGAAGACTAAGAATTTACCAGGTTAAATTATTCATGTGTATATAGACAAGCCCCTTTAAGGTAAATCATCTCTGCAATTGAGTCCCATCTTCAAAAAGTAAGATATTTATTCTTTCAGCTTATTGTAATGGGCCTTAATAGTTTTTTTCTATACTTCTTTTAAGAAAACACACACACACACAAATGAATAGCACTTACAAAAAACACTTACAAAAAAACTAAGAAAAATTCACACACACAAGGGATTAAGAACTTGTTTCAAAACTATAATTTTCATTACACAATAAGAAGAATAAAAATTAAACCAATACTTACAAATACGCAAAAAAAAAATCAGCCCCAGCACCCAGAAATCACTGGTAAATTGCCTTTGAATTCATGAAAGTGATCTGAAAATTTAGACAGAAAATGAAATTAAAAGGTTAAGAAAATTGCCTTTATATGCTTTATTTAAAAATATACATTTTACTATAAATCATACTACTTTTAACTCTGGCGGTTGTTCCCATTTACTCTAACAACATTTTCTAAGATGATAATAACAAAACAAAACAAAAAAACCATGATTTCATTGTTCTACTGCTAAGAATACAATATCTTCATCCATTATAGCTTTTATTTTAATGTCAGTAATAAACTTGGTGTTTAAAAGTGTAAGTAAATACAAAAGAAAAAGATTTTTAAAAAGAAATACAGTCTTACAAGTTACATTTGAAAAACATGTTTGTGTCTGCAAGTTAAAATGAATTAGCTTCACAGAAAATATCTTGGACGTGTTCAACAAGAATACCTTGTAGGTAGAATAAACATGAAAGGGTGCAGTTTTTGTTCTACCCAAAGTATGGAACCCATTTAGACTCATAGGTTACACACAATGCATTCTGTATGAGCCACAATTCAATCCAAAATTCTTTTGCTAGCACACAATTTAGTTCTGGCCGAAGAGGTAATAGATGCAACTCAAACACACAGAGCTAGCCTTGTAAAAAGTTTAACTAGCACAATGAGTCACTTTATGCCTCTAAATATCTATGGTTTCCTCTCTCCAGAACCCCCATGCATTAGAAGGTAGTTTAGTAGTTTATTTTTATTGTTTGGTCTAAATACAGCACATTTTTAGTTTCATGAAAACAAAGAAACTTTGTTGCAAAGGCCGTATTCTTCCCCAAATGTGAGGATGGCTATAAGTAGTGTTCAACTGAAAATAATAATGGAGCTTAGGTTCCTAATTTAGGTCAGAAACTTTCCTAGACTCTAGGGATTGGTTTGATTCAATCTTTTTTAAAAAAAAAAAAATATGGCCAGTAAACATCTAGGTTAGTTAACCTAGTTAGCTAACTAGATTTAAATAAAATTCATTCTCAAAAAATAATAATAATTTTGATCAACTTCACTTGTGGGAATCACTTCTCCCAATGTTGCACTTATAGCACAAATGGCCATAATAAATTAGGTATCAGCACCTGAATTAAGTTGAGATACAAAATAAATATCTAACTCAGCCCTTCCCTAGCTCCTATAATAAATATGCTTTTGCCTAAGTGACCCAGATAATTTATTGTATTTTCGAGTCAGGATTGATAGGAAATGAATCTGTCCTGAGCATTTGGACAATTTTAAGTATCAAAGGCTAATATACCCATTAGGTTTCTTCACCAGAACACCTCTTTGTGGGGAATGGTGCATGGGCCTTCTCTGGTCCAATTTCCAGCAACTCTGTAATGCCTGCTTCCACAGATGCAAGAAATACAGGAGAGTTTGGCCGGGGGAAGGTAGCTCTCCCACTTATTTTTAGTATTACGCCCTTCTCCTCCTCTTAGCTTTCTGATGTCTTAGGAACCAGGAGAGCAAAATAAATCCATAGCACAATGATGTATAGCCAAAGCCTAAACTCTGGAAGAATCCTAAAGGGTTTTTAAGCACTTGTATATTTTTTAAATAATCACGCCTTGTCCTTCTAGCAAATATATTTTTAAAGAACAAATTAGAATTATGCAACATACACAATCCACCTCATTCCTTCATTTACATTTAAAGGTTGGGGGATAAAATAAAATGCATCCAGAAAATATTGTGGCTAATGTATAGCTCTTTTTTTTTTCAGTCATTGAACTCTTTAAGAGTTAAGATCTCTGACCTGGCCAGTTTGCTAAGTGGTTAGAGCATCGACCAGCACACCTAAGGGACTTGGGTTCGATTCCTGGTCAAGGGCACGTACCTGGGTTGCAGGTTTGATCCCCAGCCCCACTTGGGGTCGTGCAGGATGCAACCAATTGATGTGTCTTTCTCATATCAATGTTTCTCTCTCTCTCTCTCTCTCTCTCTCTCTCTCTCTCTCTCTCTCCCTCCCTCCCTCCCTCCCTCCCTTCCACTCTATCTAAAAATCAATGGAAAAATATCCTTGGGTGAGGATTAACCAAAAAGAGTTAAGATCTCTAACTCTGAAAATATTTTAAATTTGGAACAAATCAAATTTCAGACATTCGGGATGAATAACATTTTGATATGCACTAATATGAAGTCAATAAATTTCATTTGTCATATAAATGCAGCCTCCTATTTATGTTAAAAGCAACTCAATCTCATTATCAACTGATACACACAATTGGTGAATTTCATAGCTAACAATTTAAAAAGTATACGCTTCTAAAATCACAGAGTTCATTATTAAAACAAAGAGAAAAAGAATTTAATACATACTTCTTCCTAAAGAGAATTTAGGAATAAGCAAGCAACATATTATGATGGCCAAAGAGTTAAGAATGGACTCACAAGAATGAACCCAGGTGAGGTAAGCTACTCCTTAGAGAACTAAAAAAGTTTAGGCTAAAGAAGACACTTCTAAGTAGAAGTGTCCACTTTGGTCCTGAGGGCAGCACAAAAGTATGATGACAGATGAAAATGCCAAAGCAAATCACCGTTTGTTCTACAAAATCACAATCTGGTTAGTAAAATGAATCCTAGTTAGTAAAAAGAACACCCGGTCACCACAGATGGTTCATTCCTCTGCTCATTCATTCATTCATTCATTCATTCATTCAACAAGTAGTTTGAGATTGCACTGAAGAGTCTAAACAGATATTTTTTAAAAATAAAAGCATTTTGTACACCTAAAACTAATACAATGTTATATGTCAGTTATAACTCAATTTAAAAATAAAAAACAAATACATGAATAACCATGGCCTTTCCTCTGAAGGATTTTTCCATCAATAATCTAACCTGGGTCACAGACTACTACATCTTACCATGGTGGCAACATGCTTCTGATTAATTGTTCATCAAACTTTTGCACATCCTTAGTTTACTAAATAAAAAGCGCATTGCTACAAACACTTCAATATAAAAATGCACAAAGAATATAAAGAGGAAATGTACAAAGGAACAAATACAAATGTCCAATAATATAAAATAAATATAATTTCCCTAATAATCAAAGAAATGTAAATAAAATATTTTCACAATAGTGACAAAATATTTTGTAAACTAGTCAAAAGCTACTATTGGTGAAGGTATAGAAAAATAAACACTTTCATGTACCACTGATGAGATTATAAATTGGGCACCACTTTTCTGAATGATAATTTGACAATAAGTGTTAAAATTTTTATGTCAATCTCTTTTAAGTTGGCTATGCTACTTTCAAAAATATTTATTGACATAAAATTATGGCCACAATATAGTGTTGAATAAGAAAGAAACATGGCCCTGGCCAATTTTGCTCAGCGGTTAGAGCATTGGCCCGTGGACCAATGAGTCCCAGGTTTGATTCCAGTCAAGGGCACGTACCTCGGCTGTGGTTCGTCCCCCACCCTCATTGGGTCATGCGGGAGGCAACCAGTCAATGTGTCTCTCACATAGATGTTTTCTCTCTCTCTTTCCCTCCCTCCCACTCTATCTGATGATAAACAGAAAAACGTCCTCAGGAGAGAATTAAAAAAATAATAAAAGCAACATGTGCCGTAGCCAGTGTGGCTCAGTTTGTTAGGCATTGTCCCATGCACCAGAGGGTTGGTGGTTCAATTACCAGTCAGGGCCCTGGTTGTGGACTTGATCCCTGGTAGGGGATGTGCAGAAGGGAGCCAATCTTGGATGCTCCTTCTCACATCAATGTTTCTCTCTCTCTCTCTCTCTCTCTCTCTCTCTCTCTCTCTCTCTTTCTCTCTCCCCCTTTTCTTCCTCTCTCTAAATATCAATTTAAAAATCTTTTTAAAAAAATCAACATGTATAATAAGAACCAATTTATAGAAAATCAAATGTGTATACACACACACCCATTTCACAAAATAAAATACAATTTAACAAAAATATTAACATTGTATGAAATATAGACTAATTTTTACTTTCTTATCTTTGAATTAGTGTTATTGAGATTTTTAAAATACTTAACATGTCTAATTTATCTCAAAACAATAAAGCTATTTCTAAAATTCCTTATATTACTTATACATTCAAAAGTGGTCACCCCAAACCTGGCTAACTTGCTACTAATCTGGCAGCAAAGGCCAAATATTAATATTAGTTACAAAGAGAAAATCCTCTGAATTACAAGGCAATTTCAAACAAGTATCTTGACATCAAATGAGGAAACCATAAACATTTTCACAAAAGCATGTCCCACTCTCCCCAAAATAGTACTAGATCAAAGGTAAACAGCAAATAAAAATACTGCCACCTCGCTGTATAATTAGACTTTTAAAACTTTCAAGCTAAAATTTTAAATCCTGCTTAAAGCTATCTCTAAGCCACACCCATTTCTCTTTTTATCCCCACCCTTTTTTTAAATTTATTTATTTACTTTAACAAGAAGGTTCAAGCACCAAATGGGTAGTTGGATTTATTTATGTAGAATTTGTATTAATTATAAAAAATGAAATATGAAAGGGACTGATACCAAGCTAATGCCCAAGTTTTTAAAAAATGCAATTGCTAATAATTAAGAACATCACAATAGTGAATGAAAAAATTAGGGTTTAGTTATTGATACATATATCTTCCAGGGCAAAAATAAGAGTATTTCTGAGATATCAAGGAAGATACTTATGCTACCTAGTCCAACACTTTGCTTTCCTAGCACAAACACCTATTTTCTCAAAGAAAGTGGAATTTCTCCTATTCTTAAAGATCTCCAAAGATAATTATTATTAAAGTCTGCTCATAGTAGCCTATTTATTTATTCTATGCTATTCAACCTACATCTTCAATACGATTTCAGCATTGAGGAACACCATTTAGAAGGGACATTGACAAGTATGCAAAAGAGATTAGCTAAGAAATCTTATAGGAACCATTAGAATGGTTGCAAGTTCTAAAGACAGTTAGAGATTATCAAACTCTTTGGTCTCAGGATTTCTAAAAATTTAGAGTCCCAAAGAGTTATGCTTATGTT